TCTGATGGGGTGGCCATAGGATGTTACTTCTGGAATATTTTCTGCATGTGTGAAGGTCTGAAGCCTTCACCATCCACCTGTGATCTTCTCGTTCCCAGCATACCAAGTGCTTTGATTGTCTCACTGCAGCAGAATTTGTTGCAAATATCATTTAAAGACCTTAAATACCCTGGTGAACATTGCCACGAGACAATAAAAAAAAATATGCCAACTGTTTGAAACCAGGTTCTCCTGGTGCCACAGAGTGAAATCCTGTTATTAATGACAGAGGGTACGAAAGGGAAACAAAGAAGTAGAATTGGCTGAACCTCAGCCCTTCATCCAAACGGTCTGCACATTGTCCCAGTACCTTCTCAGCATTGCCGAATCAATCATTCCCCAAAACAAGCTGGTGGCTTATTTAATTAATGAAGTCATCATGCCACAGTTGACCGTGTGGCTCATGCTGAAGAGACCTTGACTATGATACTACTTGCTAAAACCACAGTCGTTAAATGGTGCACATCATACTGCCAAACACTGCACAAAGTGGAATGAGGTTTCGCAGGCCTGAAAAACTCCTACCTGGGAGTTTAACCACTGGCCATTAAAAATCATTTAGAAGACATTCTAATTAGAAGGGTCTTTTCATCTGAGTCTGCCAGGGACAGAGCATTGTGTTGCCTTTGTGTCTCTGGCTTGTCTTTGTGGCTCAACTCCAAAAAGCATTATTGCCCAGTTTTTTAGTATTACTGAGTCACAGGATATTTCTAGCATTCTTGTTATTAGTAGAGTGAGTCTTATGCCTTTTATATGTTGTGGGACAGAGGCAAAGCACAGCATACTCTGGTCACTGGGAGACGAACAAGATGCAGCAGCAAATGGCTCAAATGACGCATTCGCTGCCTGAAGTGCACATGTGGAATAGACATGGCACTCAGGATAAACAAATGCAATATAGTGTGGGAAAGAAAGAAAGGAAGAAGGCAAAGATGGGACCACGGTCTTCTATCATGTGATGTGGTGCATCCTGGGACAGAGTGGATAAAGATGTCCTGCAACTGTATTTCAACACGTGCACAGATCAAGCCTAATTTCTAATAGGAAATTCCGCTTCCTTGACCAGTGCCTTGTGGAAAATATCAACCAGGGCAATAAAATCTACAGATAACCCTGAGATTATAACGTCACATTTTTGAAACTGACGAGAAGCTGTAGAAAACTAACATTGCTTTCTCACCTTATCCATATATTACTCAGTTCCCTCCCATCCGTCTCATTTGTCTTGATCTCATTCAGCCATTCATGTCATTCTGTCTGTTGCTCCATCTCTCAACCCCCTGTCTTCTCTCCTCCATTAAGCTATCCATCTTCTCCTACTCCCTTGATCTCTCCCCCAGCCCCATCTTCATCCTGCTAAGCAGCATCCCTGATTCACCACGAGTTCTCTGCTCCCCTCCGCCAGAGAGCGTGAACTGTATGGTTGACTGACATTGAGTGTGAGGTCAATGCATTCATAAGAAATGACGGCTTGCATGAGACTTTGTAGGCAGCAAAAAATGCATCTTTTACACTGTACCATCCCAGATAGTTACTCGAGGCTTTTCGGTTGCACTGACTCATCATACTACATATTCAGGTCCCTCAGCACAAAAACACATCACCAACACATTTTTACTGACCAACTGACAGGTGTCATAGTAACACAGGATAGATAGTGAAAAAGTACAATTAATTGTGCATAGGTGGATCAAGATTGCTGGGAGATTCTACCAAAACATCAGGAGTGCGCAGTCAGGCACTGTGTGAGAACTTTCCAGAAATCCAGATATGCCAATAAGAAATGAAGCAGAGGTGTTCGTCATTGTGTAAAAACACATTGACTGAGGTGCCCCCCTCCCGTGCCGGCCATGTTTGTCTGCCCATCTCTGGGGCCGCAATGCGGTTTCTGTCGATGATGTTTTTTTAATTGACGCGGGACAGTGGCCCTGATCCGGAGCCATTGTGTATTCATCGACGGCTTCGCTCCTCCTCATCGCCCAATCACATCTGCAAAGTGAGCCCACAGGACGGATTTCAAAGTGCGTGAATCGCGCTAAATTATTTAGCTGACTGAGAAGATAATTAACGGCGAATCGATGGACAAGCAAAGAGTAGTGGGGCGGAAGATCTCATCAAGACGCGATGAATGATTTAAAAGGTGGATCAGAATGGAATGACAATACAGGACTGTATGAAGGAGACCTGCCACTCTATGAAACCTGTAATATTCAGGTTACTTGTCATTTTCTGGTCTCTTATGTGGACAAACGAATTGCCACATCTTTATCAACTTAAAGGTTTTATTGTACGTCTGGGCCAAAAATCTGAAGGAATCACGTAAAATATCCTTAATACGCAAATCTTTGCACATAATTGCAACCTCATTTTAGAAAGACTTAGAATGATTCATTTGAATTAAATATTACTAATACAAGTCAATAATTCAGATCTCAGAGCTGCTCTGTGAAACACTAAAGTGTTAAAGTGCCCCCATCCATAACCTAATGAATTATGGGATTTGATTATTTGATTTGTTTTAATCAGAAAAGCAATGCTTGAACTGAGTGAAATTATCACCACATGATTTCGTTTTACCTGGATAGTTTTAGAATGTTTTCATTTGCAAAGGAAAATTGCACAAAGCTTGAGCCACAATTACATGATCAATTACCTAATTCTTTATGATTACTGAATGTTATGGTTTGACTCTGGTTTGTCCAGAGCAGTAAAATGCAGCCAAACAGAGACATCTGCTGTAGTTTTTTGCTGGTGAAGCGGAAGCACAGTGTCCGTCTGATGTCCACAGCCTCACAAATCTTCTCATTTTTACAGTCACAGGTTTTCAGACACATTTCAGGTCCATTTCAGACCTTTTCATCTGTGAACTTCATTAAGACTCACACATACTGCATGCTACGATGTCAGAAAGTGAACAGAATGAAGGCTAATTAAGAGAAGCACTTCCTTTCCCACTGCTCTCGATTAGCATTGCTGTGGAGAACGGTGACCCTGAGATTCAGCCGCTATCGGCATAAGCCAGCTGACAGCTCTGCTAGAAAGTCCAATATAAAGGTCTGAGGCACTGCAGTTGACCCCAATAACCTGATAGCACAGTGGTAGTTTGTGTAAGTAAACATGGATTAACTGACTCACTAAATGTCCTGTAAAGGCTTTTAGTCAAGTGATGCAATAAAGTAAAAACTCACAGCCCTGACTGGAGCATCTGAGTCCTTTAAGTCATTAGTAGTAATTATGAGGGATCTGAGTGGATCTGAGACCTTTAAATCAAGCCCCTTTGCAAACTGAGTTTTTTTTTCCAGATTCCTTGATCTATTATTATCCTCCAGCTGGATTTCATTCTCCAACATGCTCTGATTGGTCACATGGAAGCTGTCTTTACTTCCTGCTCCTATGTAATTGCTTCAGAATGAGAGATTCTCCGAGGACTGGAACCCAACTCTTAGTGCCGTGGTTCACTTCAGTGTGGGTACCACCCCGATCGCCTAGCTACCCGCCAGCTCCGTCACCAAGCCGACCGGGACGACCGCGTCGCCGTGCCCCTGACGACCAGGCTGTATTTTAAACGCGCCGTCTGGGATGTCTGCTCGCGTCGCAGCGCCGCTCTGTGTGCTTGAAGATTAAGTGCGGGCCAAGGTAACACTTCATCACTCCTGCTTCTGGGCCTTAATTCAGGCAGGTTTCTTTCGGGGTCATAAATGTAACTCAGGGAAAGACATAAACAACCATTAATGCTTTAGTGGGAGCAGCTGCCTGGAGCGTGTCCCATCTTATTGTTTCTTAATCTCATTCCTAAAGGACTCTATACTGTAAAGTGAGGAGGACTGGACCCCCTCAATCAGGTCACCTGTGTCTTTCACCATCATCATTACATTACTTGGTGCTTTTTCTTTGTTTGGTCTTTACACATCCAGACCCAAATGTCACGCCAGTAGTAGCCCATCCTTTGACCAAACGCCTCCTTTACTTCTGTCTGCTTTTACATCAAAAGGTCTCATTTTTCTGCACTCCCACCCTCTATTTTTGTTAAATCTATCTCCACTCCTGTTCCCACTCCTTTGTCACATGCTCCAGTCTACTGACCTGCCCAGATCAGGTCTCACACATCCCGATAGCTCATCCATCCCTTTTTGAAACCACTTGTCCTATTCAGGGTCTTAGAGGGTCGGGAGCCTATTCCAGAGGCTATGGGTGCAAGGCTGGGAACAACTCAGGATGGGGTGCCAACCCATACATTCTTCTTTATATTAATAGCTTCTATTTTTCTGATTCCTCCTGGTCGAGTCGACCTTCTCACACTTATTTGCAGATTTTATTCCCAGTTTTTCCTCTTTCTTGCATGTAGGTCTATATCTTTTCTAGAAGCAATTGTTCAAGAACTGGTGCAAGGTTTGCTAAATGACAGATTCCCTAAAAACACCAATCTCTCAACAGCTCCCTGTCTCTGACATTTTTGCTCTAAACCACAATCTCATCATGCATAGTTAATGCTGTGTTAATATCCAGAAACTAAGGCTTCGTTGCTTATCACCAGTTCACTAAATATCGAATTTCAACATTATAACAACATACCACTTAAAAAGATGTTATTCACTGATCTCAGTATAAGCACTTAAAAGAGCGAATATCAAACTGGCTGTACAAATTATATCATACAAATAATGTCCAGGAAGATCATATATCCATGGAAATATATGGCATAAATCAGTGAGTCCACACATTGTCTTGACAGGGAGAGACACAAGGATGGAAGGAGAGATAAATGGATGCCTTGCTTACACAGATGAGCCCCAGATAGACAAGGAGAGGACAGACACAAATAAAAGCAATGAGGAGACAGGGTGATAAAAAAGCTTAGGGTGATAAAGTAATTTGGCAAAAGTTGTGCTAACACAGAGCACAGATCAGGCACACAAAGACACGCACACAGTGATACACAAATGTGGTAATCTCGGCCTGACCTGCCCATTCTTCTTCAGATCCGCCCACATGCTGGTCCCATCGCCTCCTCTCATGAGAACGTGGTAGGTGAAGTAATAGATGCCAGGCAAAGGGCAGGTGAACTTGCCAGTGCTCGGCTCATAGTAGTTTCCTACATTGGTCACCACATCGTCAAACTTGAGCACCTCGCTGCCCTCGTGCTGCTTACGGAGACCTGCATAGAAAGCAATCTTTGGACTGTAGGAGGACACATAGCCGCCCGGCCCAGGCCCCGGGGGGCCCGGGGGACCGGGCTTACCCGGCTCTCCAGGGGGCCCTCGAGGGCCAGGGGGACCAGGAAGGCCGGGATTGCCGCGGAATCCAGACTTGCCTCTTCGTGCTGTGAAATCTGGAGGCGGCGGGGAAACGACGGCCAGCTCGTGGCCACTTTGGGCTGGGGTGAAAGGGTCACAGACCATCCTGCAGCTGCCCAGCATCTCATAATGGGTCCCCCCACCTCCAGCACCCCCCGTTTTAGTGCTGTGGACCAATAGCGGAATGGCGACTAATAGAACAAGCACCATAGCCACACCCACTGCCACTCCGATGACGCGCTTCCTGCGGCCCAGCCGAGTGGCAGCCAGCGTGAGGAAGTCCTCTTCCCCTTTGGAAGTAATGGTGCCGGCCAGCCTGAAGCAGGACACTCAGATGCCGGTGACTGAGGTGTGAAAAGAGTGCGGGATACAGAGATAACAAATTTGGCAGAGGCAGCGTATAGCGAGGAACGTGGAATGTGAAATTGTTTCTGAGGACCTGGCAAGACAGTATGTAATGGGGGAACCTGGAATGATGCAGGGAGAAAAGGAAAGGTGGGGGTCTTAGGGGGATAACACCATGGCAACAAAAGAGGGATGAAACATCAAGGAGTTAGAGGGGATTGAAATGGATGACAAACTAGGGAGAAGCAATTCTGTGCATAAATAAACTCAAGAGCGCAGCTCAATGAGTGGTGAAGTGGGTGACGGATTTGGCTTTTTCTGTTTTAGGTCAATCCAGAAGGTCAATGAAGGGGATCCCCTTGAGTTACCCAGATCCCATCTACGGGGATACCTGTGTCTCCCGCTTCTTTAACTCCCCAGTGTCCATTTTGCGGGCGGGAGAGGGATTAACCCTCCACTACAGTAAGCAGAATCACGGGTTTCTATTTCAAGCTTCCTCTCAAATTCTCTGGTGACTTTTTGTACCGTTTCACGCCACAGCAAAGGTCAGCGTAGCAGAAGGGAGCTCAGACCTTTGGAGTGACGTGCTTGGTGAGACGAAACCGTCACCAGTTACACCATAGTGACACGGTGTGACTGAAGAGCCCAGGCAGTCAGATAGCGGGCAGAAGATTTGGAAATGAATACTGGTCAGAACAGTAAGAGATTCTGTGGCTTCGGCTCTGTGGGGATTCAGGGTTTGCCAAGGATGCCTCTTTCTTCTGCTTTTATGATCACGTCCAGGGGAATGTGCTGGAAATCCCAGGAGGGCAGTAGCTGTATGGATGTGGGTGTGATGTGTCTGGGGGATGTCCTCACATAAGAAAGGGGCTCATTAGCAACTTCGTATCTCACGTGCCCACATCTGCCATCTACAAATGCACAGTGGAAATTCTAAGGGAGAAAAACAGAAGAGAAAATTATTTTATAGTTGACATGTACAGAAATTCTGGAATTCAGCTGTATAAGATAATCAAAAGCAACTTCTCTGTAGATTGCATTTTAAAGAAAATGTTATAACTTGTACAGCTACATTGCAGATTTAACTTAATGAATTAAACATATATACATTCACAATTAAATAATTTAAGAAATAGCTCTCGGATTACAGAAAGTTGCCTCATTAGAATACAAATATAATTCATGCAAATAATGAATGTAATAACTTAATATGAAATACCACACTTTCCTGCCCGTGTCTCTATTTATTATTATTATTATTATTATTATTATATAATATTGATGATGATGCAGGAGTAGTTTGTTTCTTAACATGCTTGATGCATCGAATAATATCATCCACTGTTTATTATTGTTAGTTTCATATATTTATTTATTTATTTTCTAGAACAATCATGACTGTTATAATAAAGCCGATAACTACGCTCCTATCTAAAGAAAACGCCCGAGAAAATTACTTTTTTTCTGAGCGGAAATAGACCAGCTATAACTTTCGGATGTGCTCAGAGTAACTCGGAAAATGGCACAAATTTTAACACCTTGTGAAATTCAGAAAAAGAGAAGGGTCTCTTACCTTTTCTCCTTCAGGATTCTGTCGGGAAAACGTGACATTTTGCGAGGTTTGGTGTAAGTGCTGTCCGGTCTGGGCAGAGACGTATGTGAGTTATTTAGTCGAGTTCAGTGTTTGATAAATGGATGAAATCGGTGAAATCGGTTCGCTTTCCCCGCAATCTCCGTCCACCTGCCGCCGCATTAAAGAGCAGGTAGCGCTTCTTCCACTAACAGCAGCCCAGTTAAGCAAACGCAAAACTGCGCTCCGGCTGCCGTCCCCCCTCAAAATCCTTTCTGTTTCGATTTTTCAACTACGGAAAAAATGGAAATGCACGAAGTTGGAAGACAGAACCGAAGCGCTCGGACTAACAGCCACAAAAAAAGACAAAACGCCAGTCCGTTAAACCTGCCCAGTAAAATCCTAAGCGAACCTTAAACAATCTGCATGACTTTGCCTTTACTACTCTGTTAAACGTTTGAGTTTTTATTTGAGATCTTTGTTCGGAGTGCAACAGTTTTCGCACTTGCCCGACACCTGTGAGATATGCGGCGCTCCTTCGCTCCTGCTCTTCCTTGGTTACCCCGCCCTCACGAACTGTCACCCTCCGGCACATTCTCCATCCCCCCCACCACCCATTTCATATCAAACATGCACCCCAGCATCTGTAATATCTTTCACGCTCTAAACTTTACAAAAAAAAATATAGTTGCCTTTAACGATTAAATTATTATTATTATTTTTGCTATACAGTGGGAGGGTCTAAATGTTATTAAAATGTGAGCTTTTTTTAAATAATTGTAGCCAATCCATCCGCAGTAAAGAGCAGTTTTATGATTTGCGGGAATGATTTGCTGACTGGATGGGGAGGAGTCGTTTAAACTCATAAATACAACCAGATCAAATGACCATTAAATGAATAACAGTCTTATTATTTCCCCAGGATTGGGTCAACACTCACATTAAGAGCCTTACCCATTCATAGAAATGGGTATTTACTGGGCTCCGACTCAGTGGAGTACTTACCAGTTTACACAGCTGAATATTTCACAGTAAAGTACTCATCTATTACCACTCCTGAATATTTACCAAATTCATTTCCAGTAAAACAGTGGATCTGTTCCTTTAACATATGCTGCCGGTATTCAGCGCTGCTATTTCTGCAAAGCTTTGTCAGTTGAAAGATGAAAAGATCTTTTATGTCTATTCATTTTTTTCCTACCACTGTAAACTGTAATCTTTACATTTTCATCTTCATCATTTACAATACATTTACATTACATTTTATACATCACTATTACAGATGAATGGACTAGAATTGGTACACACTTCGGGGGAACAGAAAGCAGTAGTAATTAGATTTGTGTCACTAAGAGGTCAAATTTGCCTCCGTAGACCCTCCACACGTTTAAGGAGAGATGGTTTAGTGCTGCGGCAGAATTAACTCTGAGAGAGTTCATTTCTGCATTCAGCGAGCCCAAATGAACTCTTTCAGAGTGGATTTAGACCCGTCACTTTTAATGTGAGAGGCGACAGCAGTCACAGCAAGCACTGGCATCTCCGTCTTAATGTCTGCTTGGTGTGCAAGCGCGCTGGGGGCCGTGCCTGTCCTTCACACCAGCCCCGTGCACAGATTTCCCCTGCGGGCGTCTGTCATTTCCTTTAGAGAAAATGCCAGGCAGAGACAGGTAATCCAGAGGAGGTGCTCTCTTACAAGGGAAAACAATGGTGTTTTGTCCAAGTTTTCCCTCAGGAGACACAATGAACAATGTATGTGCGAGTTGCATGACATCTTCCATTGAATCAATTAAGGGCCCAGAACTCCAGTCCAGTGGATACTGTCGGCACAGAGACCTGTTGACATGTGTGTCTCACGTGTCATTGTTATTTTTCTTTTTTCCTTCCTCGTGTATTTTACGTTTCACATTGTACTAATTAAGCTTCCAGAGTAAAGCACACTTGTAGAGACCAGGGAGCAAAATATCGTTCATTATATCCTCAGGAAAGTTCACATAATAAGAGAATGTTTTTTTTTTTTATTCCGAGAAGATGAGAGAGAAAATAAAATGTCTGTGAGAATAGAACAGAAACCAGTGCATGTTTTGCTTGCTTCTATCTCTGTCAGTCTCTCTGTTTCTCCAGCATTCAGACCTCATTAGTAATGAAAGACACATTGCTGCTGACAAGCCTAACCTCTCCCTCTCTCGCTCTTTCTCTCACTCTCTCTCTCATTTCCTCTTCCTCTTACCCTCTTCCTCTCCTTTTCCCCTTACTCTCTGTTCAACTTCCTTTCTCTTCCACTTCTTCACTTAGTTCCTCTCCCTCTATCCTCACTCTTTTCACCTTCCTCTCTCGCTCTCCTTCACTTACTTCCACTCTCTATCCTCTCTCTCTCTATCCCTATCGCTCACTCTTCCCCTGCTTGTATTGCTGTCACACTTTCTCTCCCTTTTCTGACTATGTCACACATGGTCTTTTCTAAATTTATTTCTTTCACTCGACTTTATGTTGTCTTGTCTCAGCATGTCATATTCCATTGTTTTTGTTTTTTCTAAGTGTCCATTTCTGTGTTGACTTTTTAAAGTAATTGAATATTAAGATATAACAATGTATTAATGTTTTCTGTAATGATATATATTTCTCCTTTGAAAAACAAAGTTAAAGACACAAATGGATTAAATAAACAAATAGTTTGTTATTTCTGCTTGCAGCCTTTTAATCCTGAACAATGTAAAACACTTATTTGTGAACAAAAATTCATATCTTAAGAGAAATACATCTGAGGGCAATGTTGCAGGTGGAAGTAACTTTTTATTACGAATAAAGGATCGATTTTCTGTTCATGCACTTCTCCTCTGCAGCCAGGGGCATTTCAAGGTACTTAGCCATATGAATCTGAATGGGTCAATCCTTCAAAACCATTTGTTGGTTTTACACTTCACTGATTTATACAATGTTTGTGTAAATGCAATGGTGAGAAAAAAAAATATGGTTACATTTGACCCACGTTGACACCCGTACCAATACGCATATAAATGAGCCTTTCGATTTAACCAAATCTTTATCTAATTGCATGAAAAATGTTTGCCGGTGGGAACAGTAGGTTATTTGGGGGGAAATGCAAATATGTGCATTTGCATCTTTAGAATTTAACGGACACTGCAGGAGGAGTGGTAATAAACATGGACAGCCCTATGCGGGGGTCCCATATGCAGAGACCACAGGGGGAAAGTTCTAGACTCTAGGGGGAAAGTAGCAGGTTTTGTAGCTGGGAAATGGGAAGTGCTTACAAGGGGAAGCAGTACCATTTAGAGACGTGAGTGAGTCGTATTTGGCAAAGAGACACGCAAAACGCTTTATCAGCCCCTGACGCGTCAGCCAGCCTGCACCTGCGCTAAACGACTTCCAGTGTCGCACTGCTTCTGCATGGGGTGCTGCAGGCCATCTTCATCACTGCCCAGGCTCAGACAATTCGCTGGAAATTGGATTTTTAGTGCCTGTTAAAATATTACTGAGCTGATTAATATTGAGATACACGCGTGCGCCCCCGCCCCCACCCCCTCCGCGTGGCACCTCCGCTCAGACGTCCTCCCGGCCGCTCCTCTCTTCTCCCGCGGGTGACAGCCGGGCTTCCTGTCGGCCGTGCGTGCCAGTGCCGCTTATAAACGGACGCCTAGCTACCTTTCAGAGTACCGTGTTTATTACCACGTTGCGTCAAAGGTATTTAGAATTGTGTTTCAGATCTGTCTCCTAAATTATGCCGAGTCTGGCATTATAGGATCTCACTACTTGGTGGGAGGGGCTCTGTCAAAAACACAGGAGAAAGCTCCACCATGTGTCCTTTATAAGCAGCTGCTAAGAATTTGTTGTAATACTCTTTGTAATATGTTCCAGTATGTCCCATGTGTTTTTTTTTTGTTATTATCGGTAGTGTGTGACTATGTTCCTCTGACTGGAAGATGCTTTGAATCCTATGGCAGAGTGACGTCTCTGTTGGGCCCTTGAGCAATGCCCTTATCCCCAGTAGATCAAGGTACTGTCTGGCCTTGCTGTCCGATCCTCACTTATACGACGCATTGGACAAAAGCTTCTGCTAAATAAATAAATGTAAATGAATGAGAGAAGTTGCCCCAAACACAGGAATAATAATAAATATAGATGTTGTGCTCAGAGCATTCTGGTCCTCTCCTGGAGGGTGGGATTAGCACATGTTCGGTCTAGAGAAGCACCTGCACCTCATGTCTTTTTATATCTGTCACATCATTGCATAATGTCACTCAAAGCCAGATCTAGCTAACAACATCAGAGGGCTCCAAGGACCTGAAACAGGAACTCCTCCAGGCATCAACGGTGACCCTCCCAGGCTATGTGTCCACAACATGTAGAATATTAGTTTGTTTCTGACTGAAGAGCGGCTGGAATGTGAAATGAAGAGGACCTTCGAATCAAAGCGAAAGGGGCGACATTAGAGAGCCCTGAAGAGATACAGACGGAAGCCTCGTCAGGAGACCAAGAGGTTACGTGTAGACCAATCTGGTGGCAAGCAAGGACAGCAAAGGGAACTGCAAGGTGGCAGGGAGGGGGGCAGGCAGTGTGCACTGCAAGGTCACCACTTCATCAATGGAGAAAGAGTGGAGAATGAGGAGAGTAACGGGGAAAGAGACCAGGCCCTCAGGCTGCAAAGAACAGTGGAGGGCAGGAGAAGCGGACAGTGCAAACAGAGAACTGGTCAGGGGCAGAGTGTGTGGCAATCAGATTGGAGGGTTTGGACAACAACGTTTCTCCTCACTTTATTGGCCCTTGCTTACCGGTCCTGCCCCACCTCCTACCACGGCCATGCCCCCTACAAGGTTTTTGTTATGCAATGTTATGTTGTTATGCAACATAAAACATGGAGGCGTCTCAGGGCTGCCAAAGGAAGGGAATACTCTGCAGGGTGTACTCACACTGATTACACAACATACTGTGCATCCTACCAAGTGTTTCCTATGGAGTGTACCCTACAGAATGTGCTCTGCATAGTGTATACTGCACATAGTATACACTCCATAGAGTGCACTCCATGGGGCACACTCCATAGTGTGCACTATGTAGTATACATGAAGTACACCCTTCAGGTGATATGAACTGGCACATTATTTAGTGTGCCCTACTGAGTATACATAGTGGGATGCATACTACAAAGTGCACCCTATAGAATTCACACTCAGAAGTGTATACTCTATAGTGTGCAATCTGTAAGGCACACTCTATAGAGTGCACTATGTAGGTACACTCCACCATGTAGGGGACCGTACAGAGCATGCTTTATGGAATGCATACTTAGGACTGTACACTCCATAGTGTGCCAGTACATATCACCCAATAGGATTTAATTAATTTCAAGTCAATGAAATTCAATGCACTCACATAAATTAAATTATTTACTCTATAACTAATACTTTAATGTTGCATTCCTTCATTCTGAATAACGTGAATTTTTTAACAAAATGTATATGCTTATTAAGATGTTTATGTGTAATTCATACTGAAATATTAAGCTATATTGTTAAAAGCTGCACCTTCACTATATATAGGAATTCATTTCATTCAACTTTTCAATGG